TTTGCCAGCAGACAGCTCTTGTGACAGTAAGGTTTCAACCTGGATAATTTTGCTTTCAATATATTTTGATGTCAGCATACAAGGCAGTCTGCTGCCACAGGTCCTCTCTAATAGTGTGCATGTAGCAGCCTGTGACAAGGGACACATCGGTCTTCTCAAAGCAGCCTTAAAGCCGTGTTGGACTTCAGAGGGAATAAACAGGAATGAGCATCTGTAACGAGGAGCACACCTGAGAGCAGGCATTTTCATGCAAGAGAGCAGCATTTACTTTGGATCTGTGTTCTGGTAAGTGCCCTGTCACTTTTTACTCTTGTGCTTCAACCAGCGTCTCAGCTGTGCAGGGGTCAGTGCCGAGACCTTGGGCTGCCGGCGGAGCAGGGCAGCTGCGGGAGGCAGTGCCTGCGTGGCACCATGTGTAGCTGTTGGGAAGCGCTTGGCTCCGTTCACGACAGTACCTGTGATGCTTTGACCTTTTCTGGATGTACCAGTTCTTGTCTCCTGTGCTGCAAGCCAACCTCATCTTGCTCTGCAAACTCACGGCTGAAGTTAAGGGCACTTAGAGGGAACGTAGTGGTGGTGAGAGGAGGTCTTGTTAAATGGGGAGTTGTGTAGTTGTTTCTTGCCACAAAGACATGTGATTAGTTGTGTCTCACTAACAAACAGCAGAGTCGGAGCACAGCTTGGGTACAGGGGCAGCACGCAAGCTGGATCGGGGCTTGTTTGATTATGTCGGTTTCCTTTTTGCTGTCCTTGGCCATGTTCCCAGCTGTGATGCTGCTTTCCTCTCTCCGTGTTGTAGAAATCAAGGGAGTTGGGGGGCATGCGGTCCTGGGACATCACCACAGAAGGGTGGAGGACTTGGTCTGTCTTGTTGCTGTGCTTCAGTCATCATACCTACAGCTGTATCGCATCCCTGCCTGTATTGTTGCTCCCATCAGGATCAGTCTTGGCTTTTTGTCACCCCTATCTCAGCTCCCCTGCGCAGTCACTTCAGATTGAGAAGGAAACCTTCTACCAGCAGTTAGTCACCCACCTAGGTGCGTTTTTCTTCTGCAGAAAGTTGGAGGGTTTGTGATCTGCCTACTCCACCCACGTCTGCCTATTCAGACACCCAGTTTCCTATGTGACAAGAAAAATACAGCTGTAGTCATCAGCTCCTCACAGGAAGACATGAAGAAGGAGGTTTGGACAAAAGCAGTCCCCCTTGAAATTGCCCCTTCTGGCATGCGTCTACAGATGCACAATGATTGTCTCCTCCTTGGCTACCCAGAAGGTGTCTTAGAGATCATTGGACCTTGAGTTTGAGAGGAATCTGGTGTGTTAGTGATAGGTTTGGGTTGGGGAGGTGTAACGTGGTGGCTCAGATGAGGATCCAGGACCCCTGCAAGGCTTTCTGTGCGGTGCTGGCAGTGTGCCCTGAGCCAGGGCTGAGCAGCTTCTCTTTGCCTGTATCTGCAGATGGCACTTCAGTGGTGCCAAAGACAACAGACTCCAGGAGCTTCTGTCCTCGATACGTTGCAGGCCTTGCCCGTGGTGAAACGAGCAAGCACCAGCAGAGGGTGATGGGCTGAGGGTTGCACCGTGCTCTGGTGAAGTCCCTGGCTCTTCCTTACGGCACGGCAGGTCCCCAAGAGCCCTTGCCTCCCCTGGGCAGCCTGGCAGGACCAACCTGTCGCTGACTCCTCATGCAGCTGCGGGATAGGTCAGCCCTGTGCACACAGCAGGTCCCCAAGAGCCCCTGCCTCCCCTGGGCAGCCTGGCAGGACCAACCTGTCGCTGACTCCTCATGCAGCTGCGGGATAGGTCAGCCCTGTGCATGCAGGAAGCACGTTTGTCTTTAATCCTCTAATTGAGAGTTTCACTAACAACTTGTCTGTAAAGATCAAAAGCCAAGGTATAGGCTCCTTCCTGCCTGATTCTAGACATGGCTGGGAAGATTGAGCTTGCCTGTGCACAGGTGCCTCCTCTTGTGTATAAGCACCTCTTGCGGCTTTGCTGTAGGGGTTGCCTTCTCCCCAAATGCCCACGGCTGGAGGGCAGTGTCCTGACTGGGCTGAGCGTGGGTTGTAACCTTATCGGGACAGAGTCTACCGCAATACCCCTGCCTGCGTGAGGGTGCTCGCTCCTGGGTGCTGGGGCACGCTTGTTCCCTGGAGAGGGCTGCCGTTTCGTGTGCTGAAAGGGGCAGTTGAAGCGGATGATGCGACTGGAGAAAGCCTTGGTGGCCGCTTAGCATGTTACCAAGCAAGCTGCAGGGTGTGGAGGGCTGCTCCTATTGTGCAGGGAACAAAGCTGAGCTATTTGCTGGCCTGCGACAGGCACTGGGGATGGAAGAAATGCCACCGAGATTTAGAGTCCTTTCTGCGCGGCCTTTGGAGCCCTTGCCAAGAACAGACAGATACCATATGAAGATGAGAGGTGGCGGGGCTGCCTCCCTGTGTGGTTTGCAGCCCTGATTCCTCCTCGCTGTGGCCCCATGCAGATCTGTGGAGTTTCTTAGAAATAAGAGAAGCCTCTTTTCTCTCTCTCTCCCATCTGCATGTGGAAGTGAGGTCCTCAGCCCCGGAGAGGGCTTTCACAGGGCTGCTGCCTTCCTGACTGGCTGCTGGCTCTGCCTCTCCTGCTCTCAGCACCCTCTTTCAGAGCCCTGTGTGTCTTTTGATCTCAGCTTTTCCCACCAGTGAGTGAAAGGGAGCCTGCGTGCAGCCCTTGGAGGTCAACGGGTGACCCTGACCACAGCCAAAGAGGTGAGCCGTGCCCTTAGCCCACGCTGACGGCCAGCCCTTGCTCAGGGCAGAGCTGGAAAGGGGCTGGTGTTGGTTCGCCTACAGCTGGAGGGAGCAGCTCAAAAAAACACAGCAAAATAGGCCATCTGTCACTGCCGTGTGGATCTGCCGGGCTCCGCTGCACTCAGTGTTTCACCTCGCCTTGATGTGCTTCTGCCTGCAAGGAATAAAACACCCTCCGCATCACGGATAAATGCAGATTCCCACTAAGGATCGGCAAGTCCTCTGCCTCTGCATGTGCCTGCCAGCCCCCAGCAAGTCCAGAGCATAAAGCCTGGGTGAAGGGAGAGGCAGGTCAGGGGCCTGTTGCTGCGCTGGGTGGGGTGATGGGAGGAGAGGGGGCTGCTGCTCTTTTGATTGTCCTGCGCTGCGGTTGCGTGGGGCTGTTTGTGAGAAACATTTTCCCCGAGCAGCTGCTGGTATTTCTGAAGCAGCTCCTTGCTCCGCATGAGTAATGGGGCTGGCTGCACGCACGCCGTGCAGCTGCAGCTTGAAAGAGCAATGTGGATGGCTGTGGGAGCTCCTGTGGCATCTGTCGCTGGAGTGACTCTGCTCAGTCTGCAGGCTACCCCTCATGTGCTGGCATTCAGCTCTCGCAGAAACAGCAGCGCTTGGCTCTCGTCACCGTCCCCATCCAGGGACTAGGCACCATGTGAGTGAAGCACCTCCTGCCCTGCCTATCCCTGTCACCAACAGAGTGCGACCCTGGCACCCGATCTGTTTGAGCACCACGTCCCTGATGGGGCTGCAGTGTCTGCTGTGTGTCTGCATAAAGCTTGCGTGGACTTTCTTGGTGTCTAAGGCTCTATTCCACATAAAAATAAGCGCTTTAAGCTCTCTGAGGGAAGGCTGTCACAGTAAGGCTGTTCAGCA